GGGGGGGACAACATTACCCCATGTATTAATAACGTACCCTCATAGCTTTTCTGTCAGGTATTATAGGTGTTCTGTCAACTTGGGTTCGTCGAATTAATCCAACTCGTCGCGCTAGATCAGCATCTTCATCTTGTAGAAGATACAATAAATCGGATTCTATGTGATACTCATTTTCAAACGACGAATATCCAATTTCATCAAAGATGTTCACCTGCTCACCACCTGTTCGTGATGCGTGTTCCGCACCACATTCACGATGCCGATCACATTTCAGGCCTATACAAATGTCATTTTCGATTGGTATTTGTTCCTCTGGAATAATTAACAAATCGGCCTGTTTAACGTCATCGTCAACCGATATCGTGTTGCTCTTGCCATGCGACGGCAGAAGGCCTAATCGCCCGTCATTTTCTAGAGCGTCCGCTTCCATTTTCAACTGTAAACCGTCTGCACGCGAAATGATTGCACAGGTAATTGATGACGTTACCTGACAATTCAGCGACGTCACAATGTACGTTTGATTATGACGTCACTATCTGGCGTCATTATTCATAGAACAATCAAACCGTTGATTGTCGCCCTCTTGACTGCAGCATATCGCATTGTGCATTGTCAGTGGAACAAAAATGACTGAACATTTGACAAAGAGGACAATTGATTACGTAGACCAGGATGTGTCAGAATCTCAGAATGAGGACACGTCTCAGTCGAAAAAAGTGAAATGGGACTCGGATGAAAGAAACATAGATATCAGTGAAAATACTCCAAAGCAACAACAAGACGAGGATCGAAACAACAGCAATGGTCCCGTGAAAGTGAAGGTAACTGTTTCTGAATTCACCGAACGTTTAAAAGTCCCAGTTCCTGATCCAATTCCATATCGCATTGTTGTAAATGAGAAATGCAAGGACAGAAACTTTGATGACGAGGCGCAAAAAGCGTCGCACATACTAAAAAATATAGTAATGGAGAAAATGAATGATAAACTGACCGATGATTCTTCAATGTCAGCATTTCAAAGAGTTCAACAACAAGATGACCAACCCATGGTGGCTTTGCCATGTAAAGCTCAATATTCACGCCCAGCGTTACCAGTACATCATTTTCCTTCCCAAAGAGGTTTCTATCCTCCGTTCGTGCGACAGAACTTTGCTGGATTTGGAAATCTGACATCACTTCCCCGAGTAGGAATACCAAGGATGGTTGAACAATCGGGAAAGATTATGGTTCAACCAATCCCACCCGTGCCCTCCGTAACGATTAGAAATTTACCACCAATTCACGGGATTGTACCAGCTAGAACATTTATTCAGACGTCAACCGGAACAGTGGCCCAAGAAACAGGAACCATAACATCGATGAATGATCAAGCATATGGTTTGCCGAGTAGCGAGTACTTTAGCAAGATCACAAGTCCGGCTATTAAAGCGACAACAGTTCAAGTCATGCCTGGTAAGTAGCTTTTCTGTATGTTAAAAACAGAAATCAAAGTTTCTATTATACCTAACATCTCTAAGTCGAACAAAGCTATCGGACCAAATATGATCCCATTAAATTGTCAATTTTTATTTAAAAAATGCTTTGTGAAATAGCAAAACGACCCCACCCACCCGACCACTTTAAACTTTAAACCTCACATACGAACTTTTGAAAACACGTACTTATTTACATGTGTTAACAACAAAACTACCACCCTATGCATTAACTCCCTGCGTCCAGTCCTGAGAGAATTTTAGAATGAATGTTTTATTCTGACAAAATACGTAAAAGTGAGGACTTACAGGATTTAACAAGTCAGCTGGTAATTTAAAGATACATGATTTTAAATTGTAATTGTATTGTTCATAGCTTCATATTTCATAGTTTTTACTTTCAAACAATATTTTTCTGGTTGATGTTTCCAATGTTCATCTTTTTCGTACTCAAATTGTCATTGCGTTCACTACCTCTGGCGGGAGGTTGTTCCATATATATGTCAACAGTTCTTTGTGTAAATCAATATTTTGTTATATTTAACCTCGAAAATTCTTTTATATATTTTAAAGTTATGACTTCGTGTATTATGGGGACGAAACAAGTACCTGGGCCCGTATTAATGAAACCGCTCTTATACTCAAGCATGATTTCTGTGCTCAAGCCGACTTTCATGTAACTCGCTTAAATCATGTTATACGATCGAAAAGTCAAGTTTTACCAGTGAAAACAGTCTTCGGCTCAATGTCTTTCCATATTCCTTATCATTGAGAAGATAAGATTATTTTTATAATTTCATCACTGCACAAGAAATCGGGCTTGAGCACAGAACCTGGGTTTGAGCATGAGAACAATTTAATGAATACGGCCCCAAGTACTTGTTTCGTCGCTCGACGTTGCTTATAAATGTTTTCTCTTAATGAGGGCAGGGGGCCACGGTGGTAAAGGTGGTTAAGGCTACCACTGGCCCTCTACCACTGGGTCCCAGGTGGGGCAGTCGCCAGGTACTCGCCGTAGGTCGGTGAACTCCGGCTTTCATCCACCACTAAAACCTGGCACGTCCTTAAATGACCATAGCTGTTAGCTGTTAATAGGACGTAAAACACAAACAAACCAAACCAAATCTTAATGTGGGCACCAGACCTGGTTTAGGTATCCAGTACGAGGTCTTATCTCATGATTTTATATATAACAATTTAAAGCTATGAATGTTCATATTTTCCATTGTTCTTCGCAATACTCCCATACCAGAGTTTGTTTTATTAATCTTTCCGCACATATGTTTGTCAAATGTTAGTTTATCCTCCTTGGTGACTCCAATATACGTTGGTGAGGCATGGTACTCTAGTGGTAGGACGCCGGGCTCGTGCCCGAAGGGTTGCGAGTTCGAGTCACGGAACGGCACTGCGTCTTTGAGCAAGATATTTTACTCCGCTTATTCCAGTCTACTCAGCTGTAAATGAGTACGTGGCTGGGCAGCGCTAGAATTGTTGAATGCAAGCTTTTAACGCCGAAATGGCAGCTCCGGCTGTATGCTCACCATGGAGTTGAGAAAGATATTGGCTGGTTGCAAAGGCCCTATAACCACGGGTAATAATTTGTGAACCGCTTTGAGGCGACCTACAAATTGTACGAACTAGGTTGTGATAAAGTGGTATATAAGAACCTCGAATTATTATTATTACTATTATTAATATCTTTTTCCGAATTCACAAATTGTTAAAAGAACGTTTAATGAATACAAACAATGTTAAAAATTAGGACACTGATTGAATTGATAACAATTTTGTTTAAAAAAGTCACATGATTTGTCCTCCAAACACATCACATTTGACTTTTTATACTGTTGTAAATTTCTCTGTACATATGTAATGTTGTTAACAGAATATACTAGGGTTGTAAGTACCAAAACTGGCCCTCTTTTATTCTCAGACTTTCCAAAGCTCGTTTAAAACCATTTATAATGAGGAGAATGACTTCAATTAATTAAGTACAATCTACCACCAATCGATCCATTCTTCCATCTACACTTCAATCCATCAATAAGTAATCAATCATTCAATTAATCACGCTGATTCTTGGTCATATTTCACCATTGAAAATAAAGGTATTTTTCCCAGTACCGATTGCATCACATCTCAGCTTTCCATAAATATACCGACAATGATTTAAAAAAAATACAGATCTATTTATTTTTATGGCAGCAATTATAAGAAAGTTTCATAACTCGAAATTCACGTGGTCGGGTAGGTGACTCCATACCTTTTTCACACCCGATCGTGGTATCGAACCCTGTCTGTCTTGGTGAACGGCGCCCACTGCGCACCCGACAGTGCTATTTCATAGTAGGCTGTCGGTACATTTAGGCATATATTTTGTCGAGCTGCTATCGACCGTCATGTTAGTTATCTATATGGGTTTATTCCACACGTCGAAGCAAGGTAAACATTTGGGCCATTGGCTTGAAAGTAAGACAAGATTCATCGTTCACTATATAAAAAAAAATACATGTGTTTCTGGTTATGCTTCACAATACCGTAGTGCGTTACAGTTCATGTCAATCGTAATGTTTAAAATTTCTGAAAATTAACGGGAACTCGACTTGAAAGTTTGAATAAAGTTGGATAAAGTAAATTACAATGTTATTACATTTCCAGGTACCTCTATGACGTATAAAACCCCAGGTGCCTCGCATAAGAACAGACATGGCAAAGTCAAGCGGCCGATGAATGCGTTTATGGTTTGGGCGCGAAACTACAGGAGTCGTCTTTCTGAGGAAATGCCACAAGCTTCCAATGCACAAATCAGTGTTCGACTCGGCCAGATCTGGGGCAGTATGCCGCTTGCCGACAAGGAAAAGTACTTCAGAGAAGCGGAACGTATCAAGCTTCAACACAACAGAGATTTTCCAGGTAGGACTTAATATAATTAATGCTAAGCAGAAGGATTCATTTGGTGTAAGGCTTCAAACAAAGTGATGACATTTTTTCTGTCTCACTTTTTTTTGTTACTTTCGAAAAGGTTCATAAGAAAATCAGATTGTATGAAAATAAGAAGGGAAAAAGTTTATTGACGAACTGAAGTTTTACAACGTAGATCTGTGTTAAACCTCTCTTTCAAACTCCAGTAACACCGAAAAACTCAGTTAAAAGATTCGGTATTAATAATTCATCATAAAACAAGTTCTCACTTATTAAATTGCTTAAAACGGAGGTACGGTTTTTTCCTTAAGAACGAAAATGCCTTGTCCGACGCGGTTATATAGTACAAGTAGGAGATTATCATAACGTTCATTATTTTGATATCTGTTTATATTATTCACGATACGGTAATGCCCTGGTTACAATTTCGTTTTGAGGGAATTTTGTTTTGGGACATACTGAGTGAATATATTCAGCATTTGAATAACATTCTGTTTGTTAAATGTCAGGATGGGTGTACCAACCAAAACAGAAGAAAATGCCATCAGAGAGCCAGCATGACCGTCTCTGGGCAAGATTTGGATCAAACACATGTAAGGACCAACCTAAAGAGATGACAAGCAATACCTGTCAGGAAGGGATAGCACCTACTGTTCATCAAATCATGACCCCGACTCCCGTCACTGTTTATCCCAAAACACTCATCGCCAACACACCTAATATTTCCATGACGTCACCACTTCCTTCGTTTTCCCAGCTGACGCAGACTGTTTCCGACCCCACACCTATTGTGTCCCTCGAGACGGGAAGACATCCGACCCCGGGGTCTCTTGCTACTACAGACAGTATAAAGTCAGGACCTGTGAGTGGGTCTATTGACAGTAGCCAAGGACCTGCCAGAAGACCAACAGCCTTCCAAGTAGTGAGCAGTAGTCAACCACCGGCCTTCGCCGTGCAACCTTCGCCCAAGATAGAGCATGAGCTAACATCACATTTGACGGTATCTAAGACAGGTCATTATCCACTGAAGATGTCTACATCTTCCTTGATGGCCACCGGAAGTCCTACAAACGGAAGTGTTAGATCACTGTCCAGTAGTACAGTGACAGGATGCCCCTCTCCTAAAGGTCGACCTCCAAGTATTTCTCGTAGAGTTTCACTTTCAGGTAAGATATAAGAAAGTCTCCATTACACAGGGGTCGTACTTATCTATGTGATGTTCGTAGCAGTTCATCAGGCCATTCATTTCCGCTACGTCTGGTCCCTGTGGGTCAGTTCTTCATTTACATATAAGACACCAGCCTTACACACATTACATTAGCCTTGTAGCTAAGACACATTGACTAGAAACACTTGAGAAAGCTAGATTAATCATCATCGAGTCTATGTAAACGTTTATAGACCTGTACGTTTTTGAAGTCAAGTAGCCAGGCCAATGACTAAGGCAAAGCCACAATGAGCAAATGCATAACTATAGATTAATTCATAAAGGAATGGGACAACGGCCTTGAAGTCTATATATACTGTCCCTCACCTTAAAATAAATTTACGTTACATAATCAATGTAATGAAAGTATAAAAAATAGTTTTTCTTAAAATAAGGCCTAAATGGAGGGCGATACTACATATTGACCTATTTCTTATTGTCGTAGAAACACCAGCAATGCTGATTTCCGCACAGCGTGCCTATCAGGAAGCGAGAATGACTAGGAGCCATTCTGATGGTCCAAGTAAAACCAAGCCTACAACTTCTTCTGGGTGAGCTAATGTGAACGGAAAACAAACCATTTCCATACTACACTTGTTACTTATCTGTCTTCAAATTTCTTTGTCAAGAAAATTGCTAGTATTTTTTATCGACAAAACTAAGATCGATATACATTTTACATTTTAAGTGAATCATGTTAAAATCTTTTTCAACCTTCTTTACAGACCCATCACTACTACCCGTATTTCGGACCAGAGGCAGAAATCCGACGCCGCGCCCCTAACGACGGTCAGTGACGTAAGACCGCCCGGATCACAGAGACCTTCAAAGTGTGCAGACCCAGTAGACGAGTTGTGGCCGTTCCCTCTCCCCACGGTTGAACACACTCCCCATGTGGACGTACTCTATGATGGTAGGAACGGCGTCACATATAGCAACGAGTATCATTTGATAAATCGTATTTGATTTTTTCCTACCCATAATATATCAAAGGAAACGTTTGTTTAAGCCCAACTGGCACTGTGAGCTTATGGTATGATGCAGTACCAGTCATCCTTCGTTCGTCCGCCAATTGTTTTCTTTGGACAACCTCTTCTTAAAAAGCGAAATTCCCGGGGTCATGATATTTTGCCAGTAGTTACATGGGATGGAGTGTACTTTGCCAGTAATTACATGAGATGGAGTGTATTTTGCCAGTAATTACATGAGATGGAGTGTATTTTGCCAGTAATTACATGGGATGGAGTGTTATGAAGTTGACTTATATAAATGACTTTGTCCTACTTTCAACGTCGCTGGGGACAAAAATGTTTTCTTAAGAATCATATAGTCTGAAGCCATGATACTTGGATATGTTATGTAGACCAGCAGCGTAAATCTGTTTTCTTATATATTGTGATTGATTCAAAGGTAAACTCTGACAGCTGTTTATAATCAGTAAAGAATCTTCTCCTTAAGGACCCTAAGGCCTGGTATGAAACATCTAAGGGATTATATAGACAGAGCACGAAATATGGAATATCTACAATTGACTTTGCACTACTTTTAACGAGAATATTTGGCCGTGATTGCTTAATATGCAGGTGAGCGATACAGGTTTCATTCGGGTCCAAATTTGATCCAATGTCAAAATAAACTGTAAATCAATAAAATCATATTAATTTAGTATGAACATTTTTTTTACAAATTCGAACACACTGCACACGATATATAAGTTGTGAGAAAAAGTCACGGATGCGTAAATGCTGTGTAATACAACAATGTGTTGTCTTATATATGATTTAAATAGTGTAGTTTCGCATAATTTCCCTTACCTACTTGAACAAGCGATGTTTCATTCCAGATCATCTCCGATACGAGCGCGAGAGCGGCCCCGGGTACATTGATCCCTACAACCCGTTCTATTACGATGGTAGCTATGACGACACACGGTCAGGACTGCAGATCGATGTCAACAGGTGAGCCACGTCTTCCTCTTCAGGGTTGAATACGGGACAGTAATAAACATCAATGTACACGGTAATGGTGGATATTATCATGGTGGGAAAATACTCAAGGTTTTCGCGTTGAGTAAATTTCCGCGAAAACTTCTTTACTCCCTGAACAGTGTGTCACTACCATTGAAATGTCCCTACTCCCTGAACAGTGTGTCACTACCATTGTAATGTCCTTACTCTCTGAACAGTGTGTCACTACCATTGTAATGTCCCAACTCCCTATACAGTGTGTCACTACCATTGTAATGTCCCTACTCCCTGAACAGTGTGTCACTACCATTGTAATGTCCCTACTCCCTGAA